GTCTCTATGTGTGGCCCTGCGATAGACTTGCAACCTGTCCAGGGTGTACCCCGCCCCTCGCACTGTGACTGCTGGATATGGGCACCAGTGACCCACGCGACCCTGAAAAGGAAGAAGCGTGTACAGAAAATGGATGGATGGATGGATTTACACATTTTTCCTGAAGATAGAAGAGTTTGTTGAATCTGAACATGTTCGTACGAACCCTTCATACAAACAAAAGTAAGAGAAATTTAGGATAAGAATAAGAACATGTTCTTGCATGAGGCCCAATGAAACTGAACATTCCTGTTACGCAATCAGTCTATCGTCCTTGGCTATACATTTCGATACATTTTGCAAATTTATAAAAACTAAAGATCAAACCAAGATTAATCTATCTGCCAATAGGTTTGAAAGCAAAACATGCGAGCACAGTTTTAAGTCACAGTATGAGTCAAACTGAACATTTCATGGTTAAATGTCTTTTAGACTACACATGTCCCTCAGATGGACAGCTCCTGTAGTTTGACCTTCTGCATATTCAGCCTTGGTTAAACCAGCTTTCCTCACTCTCCAGTCCAAGCAGCAAATATCTGTCTTTCACACAGAGCAAAATAACTTAAAATATACAAATGTTTTATTTGTTAGACTGATTTCTTTTTAAAAGACTATTTTATTCAAAAATATTATATTATTTACATGGTTTCAGCTCATGTAATTATTTATTCTTCATATTTGATCAGTTAATAAATTACATTTATCCCAGAGCAGCTGTGTCACAGTATGGTCCTAAGTATAAAAAAGTTTAGCAAATCAAGAACCTTGTTTTTTGATAAAATTGTGAATGAAATTTGTGGATCTTTATGATAAATTAAAATAACATTTAAAACCCACCTAGACAACATGGCAAGTTGTTTTTATGTATTTTTTAATATACAGAATTTTTTGACTGGGGTGTTAAACAGAGAATCATCTTTGCTTTAATATGGGGCAAACAAMTGTTCTGTTAATTAATGTGGTTTAATTAGAAGAACTCAGTGAATCTCACATAAAGACTCAGACTGCGCGCGCAGCACGCTCTCGTACAGCAGTCTCTCAGGAGGAGAGTTTAGTCACCCACACAAAGTTGGACAGATCTGTTCAATAACAACATTCTGAACACATATTTAATATAAAGTTAGGTTTTACAGACCAAAGTTTCTGGTAGTTCAGGAGCAAAGTGCAGGAGGAGAGGAGAAGCCAGGACTGATCGCGTCGCTGCAGCAGCTCGAGTCGAGCCGGCCCGCTGCTTCAACCAAACTTGCTCACTGAAAGTCCCGCCCTGCTCTGCTCTGATTGGACAAAACAGCTCTGGACTTCGTCTGATTTTTTGAAGGCAGTGTCCATTTAATCCTTATATCAGGGTCCCACTGTGTAGCACCGAACAACGATCCATTCACACCAGTGCGGCTGGATTCTTTTTTATTTATTTTTTTAAGAAATCAGGTCGCATTTGCGACCAAACTGGTTGCACTCTAGAGCCCTGCTAGCTGTTGTTTTTACAGACAACCAGGTACAATCTTAGGTAAGCAAGGGAGCTTTATGACGTTACATCTGGTGCGCTTTTTCCTTTTTTGACCGCGCATGCCTACCTGCGCACTGCTTTTGTGCACCTCTGGTTATGACGCAGTAAGTGAGAAATGCTGTCAGGCCTGATCTTAATCTATGTCCTCCCTTTTTGAATGATGGTTAATTATTTAGTAAAATCTCAAATTTGATGCAGACGATATGTACCTGTGCTGCTCCTGCAGTGAGTGTTTTTTAATTGGTCAGAAATAATTAAATGACTGTCAGAAATTTCAGGCTGGTTAAAAAAATTTAAAAAACAACTAAATTTCACTCAGAACGGTTCCTCTGATCAGGCAAAAAATTAGCCACCTAGACTCTGCTGTTAACTTGAAGAACTTGCATTTAGATCTTTTTATGACTTTACTTTTTTATTTCTTAATCACATTTTACTTTAATACTTTGTGTTTATTATGTATTATTATACAGTGAAGCACTTTGTAATTTTTATCCATAAAAGGTCTTTATAAAAATAATTATTTACCTGCTGTGAGGGTGTGAAGTAAGCTATTGGTTGTTTGTGGTCAGCAGAGCGAGAAATCTGAAGCCAAACGGGATATCTATTTCATTAGCTGCGTTTCCATCCAATTTGAATTTGAATTTAGAGCGAATTTTAAAAAAATTTGCAAGTAGGAAAAAAAAAAGAAATGCAAATCAGATGTGTTTCCATCAACTGGCTGGAAGGGAATCAACCAGCTACACAAAGTGTAATTACATCAGACAACGTTACACATGGCTGTAGTAAACAGGAAGTAGAAGTCGCAAACTCACAGGGCCTACACATCTCAGGACAATGGAGTAAAGTTATCAGGAATGTGTTGCTATACTATTGGGGATGTTGTRATTATTCTGTCATATCAACTAATTTTAGTGACGTTACATACTGTCTGGAGACGCAGAGAAAGAAATGCAATTCTCTTCACGTTACAGGAATAACTGAGAAGACGCTGACAGCAGGAGGAGGGTCCAGCTGCAGCTGGTACGGTACTAAACAGACAGCAGGAACAGCTGATCAACCATGTGAAGTAAATGTTTGCTACGTCACAACCTATTAAGCAAATGTGTTTCTATCTCCACTTTTACGCATCAGCTCAACCCCAAAACTACCTTAAGTGAGCATATAAACTTTTTTGCAAAACAGAGGATGTTTTTTCGAATCATGCCGTTTCCATTCACCTTTTCTAACGCAATACATCAAAATGCGCAAAAGAAAACGTTAATGGCTATTGTAACATTTGGGGAAATAATTTGACATTTTTTAAAATACAGAAAATAAGCAACAGCTTTAAAGTATAGCCCTACAAACACAAATTTTGGTTTGTGCAATGTTTGTCTAAAGGTTTATCCACAAGAGCTGAAATGTCTAGTTTTCATTCCAGCTCATTAGAAACTACATTAAACTGTGAGCTTTCTAAAACAAATAGCTCCTGCACAGACTCGTGTTTCTTGTGCTAGTTTTTAATGGAAAAGCGCTCAGCAGTAGCCCAGTTTTAACCCTAATACTCTAGGGACAATTTAAACACATTTAGGTGAATTAAAACCCCAAAATACTCACTGCGAGCTAAAACTCAGCATGAGCCTCAGGCTCAAATGTGTGCAGTTAATTAGCCATGACCTAGACACCAACTGTGGGTTGACTACGCAAAGAACAGTGTTGCAATGTTGGAGATTCTGTAGRAAAAAAACTTGATACAAAGTGTCAGATGTACCTTTGGTTTTACTTCAAAGAAGGATGCTGGCATCATATTATAGAGAAAATGAGTTGTGAACATGCGCGGAGATGGCCTGGCCTCCAGGTTGAGARCAGAAGCTCGAGTCTCCTCCAGCCAAGGAACACGGTCCCAGTTGTGGAGAGTCTCAACCGAGGCAGGATCGCCTCCACTTAGGATCAGAGGAACGATCTCCTGCATCCAGGTTGTGCCTGCACAAAAGGAACACGTTCAGTTAAAAAAAGTGTGAGCATTGATAATCATCACATTTTTTAGATTATCTTGTGCTTCAGGTCTTATTTTTTTGACACCACCGACAGATATCAAAATCCTTCCCAAAGTCAGTGCAGGAAGTAAGTTATTTTTTTCCAGCTGATGCATTTGTCTGTCAGCTTGTCAGAGGAAATGGTGAGTAGCGGTGTGTGTTATAATAGGCTTAGAGTTCAGGAAGTTTGAGGCTCATTCAGGAGCTGCACCTTCAAAATGACTGCTCTCGGATTATTTCAGCACTCCAATGTCTACTTGTTTGTAGTCTCCTATAACGCCAATTGGACCAACTTCCAGTTTGATGTGAAAATGAATCATAGAGTCCTCAATTGGCCCTGCTCTTTGTCAGATTATCTGTTTTCCTCCAATGTACAGTATTTGACTTTCTGCTTGGCCTTCAGAGGAACAGGACGTGCTTTCGCTCTCTCTGTTTGTCTTACTGAGTTGTGAAACTACGTGCTGCTGTTGCCGATCTTGGCCAGGTCTCTTGAAAAAAAGAGGATTTTAAGCTCATTGTGACTTCCTTGTTAAATAAAAGGGTGAATAAATAAAAAATACTATTCATCAACACTCGTACTATTTGTATTCTACATTTGAAGTACTTATAATTTTATACAAATGTGTGAAGGTGTTTCATCCTTTTCACTCAAAGATTAAACACAAGAAGGTATCACTTCTGCACCTCTTTWTATGGAGGGTGTTCCCCAGAGGTATGTCCTGAAACCAGATTTTTTTCCCTGCCTACACAGAAAGAGCTGACAAAGATCTAGAAAAGAAAAAAAAGGCAGGAAGAGGAACATACAGGAGAGGCTGTAAGTGGAGAAGAAAGCCCGACTTGAGTGAAGAAAGACTTGTAACTTGACATAAGAAAGAGCTGACTGAGGGCTTTGTTCAGCAAATCCTTGGAACATGTGTGAACGCTCCGAAAAATTCAGTCCAAAGAAAAGAAAGTCCTTTTAAAAGCTCTTTTTTTAAACCAACTAGATTCACCATCTTCAGGAATCGCTATTTCACTACTCCGACACAAACAAACAAAACACCCCAATAAATTTCTATAATTAAAAACCTAGTATTACTTGAATGAAGGTTTATTGACATCCACCTTTCATGCTAAAGTTTTGGACAAAAATGTGATTTTAGCTGCTTTGGTTTAAATAATTTTACAYACGTCACAGAATACTGAAATGACTTTATGGTCTCAGTTTATGACACAAAACCAAAAACCTTTTACAAATCGAACTTCACTGCAAGAGGAAAACATGACCAATCCCAGAAATTATCTGCAGTCAAATCCTGAAGTGTAACAAGAAAGTGGTGGAAAATTTTTCTGTATTGCACAAGCACTTTTGTACCCTAAAAACCATTGCCAGACAGTGGCTGGGAACAGTCCTTAACAGTTAAAAATGATAAACTGTTGGTGGGAAGAAGTGTCACCTTAAATCAGGGACAACCTGAGTGACACAAGTTTATTATCTCACTAACAGCTGTCAACATAAAAGGTGCAACCGAAACAAAAATACCAGAAGTTAGATTCTGCTGTGTATTGTGGGTATATTAGCCATCGCTTAGATACCAACTATGGGTCCACTATGCCAAAAAACTGCTTGCACACTTAGAGTCTTTGGGTCAAAACCTTATTAATGATCCCCGACACAAACCCACATAGCAAAATTTGTCTCACCCCATCTTTTTATTCATTTCCAATCTCACCATGACTCACTTCAACTCTGCTCGAGTCTACAGAGTCTCTGTGGGGTTTTTTATGGTTTGAGTGTCGCATCGATGTGGGCGGGATCTTCATAACACCACTGTCCAGAACTTCTGCAAAGTTATTTCCTATCCTTAACAAACACAAAACTGCAGGGAAAGTTTCTAAAATGCCATGGCAGTGCGGGGGCCACCTACTCTCCACTGGTCAGAGCCTGTAAGTCAAGTCCATGTGGTCTTTGATCAAGTCAATTTCTGTTATCAGTCAACAAACACAGACAGGGACATGAACAGATAGACGTGAGGTGCAGTGGCGGATGCTGGTCTTTTAACAAGAGGAAGCTCAGTTTCGGCCTACATCATAAAATATGTGGGTTATAAAT